ATACGTTTACATCTAATTCATGCACTGTAATCTTTCTAGTAATTTACTACTCCCAACCATTTTTCTAGAAATTTATTTGTTATTCATCCTCCTCCCCTCCTCCCATAAAAAAAAAATGAATCCTAATTTCACCTATGTAAAAAAAAAAACATGTATACATCGAACCGTACCTGTATAATATTACCTTCTTCTTACTTCATTCTTAGGCCTCTCAGACATCTCACATCCGATCCTTGTTTATCTATTGCTTTTTCATTCCAGTAACCCAGTTCAAACGTCCCCCGAGGAATTCTATCACGTCAATTTTTCGTACCTCTTAACTTCTCGTTCTGTGCCTTTCTAAAGTATTTTAACACGCTCATTCTGCTTCATAACAGCTTTTATCGAATCTTTCTGATTGTTGTACAAGCATGTCCCACCCATTACACCCGACTGCTTGTGCACGTCTAGGTCTAATACACTTGCACTTTGGAAAAAAACCATCGAACTGTTAACACATGATATTACGCGATAGTACGGGTCGCCGGAGTGTTTGCGCGAAACAACGATAATAGTCGAAAAACGAAAATCGTAAAAATGATAATTCTGGTAAACGCGTATCGTCCGTGTTGTAATAATTTGCGACGACAATATCGCCGATCGCGGTTTTCAACAGCAATGTTACAGCCGCAGGTATGTACACACGATCGAAAATGATTATGTTAAACGTTATATTCATATGCGTTTAGGTGGTACACCCGTCATCGGGTCGGATACGAAACGCGGGTATACGCAAATATTATTGTTGTCGAACTGTCGAACGGGGAATAGAGAAAAAAAAAATAAAATGAAAAAACTGATACGTTGGCGTACAGCATATTATTATTGTATTGTTATTACAATAATAATAAAAAAAATAAAAAATACAGCTACGCGGAGCTACGGAAACCCGCGGAATCGGTCGTGACAAACGGTAAGTGCGTACGTAATATTATTATAATACCTACCGCGCGCGCGTACAACAATGTTCTACTATTAGAAATTTTTTTTTTTTTTTTCTCTCTTTCCTTTACTTTCGATTCTGTGTCTTGTGCACGGGTGAACGATGAATGAATAAGATAATAATAATAACAATAATAATATACGTACGATATCGAACGATAGCTCGGAAACGGCTTGACCGATCGATCGGCGATATTCGACTGCGCGCCCGGGTATTATTACCATACACCGTTTTTGCGACTATTCTCCGGTGAACGGATAAAAATATCGCAGTCCGGTACCGACGTAATGTGGTGTACGGGCGCTATTGGAAAATACGCTATTATTTCGTTTCTCTCTTTACAAATGAAAACACAACTCCGAGGTTGATATGTTTACGTAATTCGCGGTGAATGTCGGAAAAGTCCAATAATAGCGATAATAATTGTGGCGCGCGCGTGCGTGTGCGTGCGTGTGGGTAAAACAATAAATTAGCCGTAATGACGATCGATGATCGGTAAAAGATTTTCTCGACTCGTTAGCATTTTCCCGGGTATTCGCGTACGGAATTAGGCACAGATGGCACGCGCGGTCACAGGCCGTGTTTTGTATTTTATGCGTCTGCGGTTGCAGGTTGAGATGTCGTCGTCGTCGTCGCCGTTCCCATTTTTTTTTTTATAATCGGCCGAGTTCGTATTTGTAATTGATATAAACCGCAATATTATGTTAATCTCATAACGCCACCGCCGAACAATGACGAAAGTGTTAACATATTTTCCCGGGTTTTTATTTTGAACGATCGTGGTTAGTGAACGATTTACTAAGTGCTTTTTTTCGAAACGTCGTAACGGATGGACATTGTTGACTGTCCGTAGAAAAGTCTCAATCGATCCCGAAGAAGTTCTTATTGTACCGGCTCAAAAATCAAGAAAAATTGAAGTAATTTTGTGAGTTCGAAAATTTTAATCGCAAAATACAATGTTATGATTTAATGTATGTTGTTTATATATATATATAAGAAAGATTACTTTTTAATACATTTTCATATGCTGCCACCTAAATAAAAATCATGAGAACGCCTCTGATTATAACATCTTAACAGTTAAACAGTAATCGAATAGTACGTAGTACGTACACAATCTGTGGCTCAGTGCCGCAAGAGAAAGAATTTAATATCCTGGGGGTTCATCGTAGTAATTACATTGAGTCAATTAAAAAAAAAAAAAAAAATCACAATTATTTATTATTATTATTTTTATTTTGATTCCTAGCGGAGAGAGAATGTATTGGTTTTACAATTTTATTTATTATTATTAATTTTTTATTTTACGCGAACAACTTTTCTACAGGAAATCTTGCTCCAATTTTCAAGTTTAGCACTTCCTCTGAAAGGAAATTTTTCTTGGATGGTACTTTATAAAGGTCACTTTTTTCATTTTTCCAAGGGTTTTCATGATAGTGAAATAATTAATACATGGGAAAAACGGGAAAATTTACGAAATGTATTATTTTCAAATAGTAAATATTACAGTCTTTGAAAACATGTATAACCGAACACCACTCAGAATCATTGTTCATTAGTAATTATTAATCTTTGCATACAGATATACATTAAATTACCCCTCTATCTTCCTAAATTCTCACTTACAACAGTGGTCCACCCATTTTGCGAAGTACGTCTGTCTTTTTTGTATAATTATGTTTTGGTATTCTATATAATAATATTATAATATTAGTCCTATTTTACGAAATTCTTATCGGTTACCATAATAATCAGTTACTACTTATCACACTGTCGTCATAGTAATTTCTATAGACGGAATATGTTTGGCCTGATTTATAACCAATTACCATAAACAATTTTTATTGATAATATCAGTAAATGACACCATCAGTTACAACCACACTTTTTATATTATTATCTACGATAAACAATTTAACATCCATTTATAATTATTCTAAAAAAACAAAAAATTAAAATATTGCCCGTATTAATAAATTATTGTTTTAAATATATGCATATTGCATATTAACTTTACTCTTAGACAATGCGTAGTGCCTAGGTATTATCCATGACAAACGCTTAACTTGGGCCGAACACATAAATCAAAAACGTATTTTGCTAAATTCAGGACGAAAGTCGCTGTACACACTTTTAAGTAAACATTCCAAACTTAACCTGAATAATAAACTGTCGCTATACAAAACCTTCCTGAAGCCTATTTGGACCTACGGTATCCCGTTATTGGGTGCGGCAAAAAAATCCAACATTAAGAAAATGCAAATGTTTCAGTCTATATCACTTCGTGTGATTACTAATGCACCATACTATGTATGGAATCATACAATACACTCAGATCTTGGTCTACAGACTATCGTCGAAGTGGCTATATCCTCTTACAAGCGTTTTCGTTCTCACTTTACGAACCACCAGAATCCACCTATTCTTGCACTTAACTCAGTAAACATTCCCGGGGATCCGCCGAGAAGGCTTTAGAGGCACCGGTGTCGTTTTTTGGCTTAACTAAACTAATACACAAAAATAATAATACAAAATGTACTCATAGTATTTGTATAAAAAATAACCTAACAATTTATCGCAGCAGAGTTACTGCTGGGTAGCTATACTCTCATCAACCTTTCAGGTCATACATATTATTATTTGTTCAGATTATATGCTTATTGTTATCTTTATTACAAATTATAATGTATTCTAATAAATATTAAAAAAAAAAAAATGTTTGTAAGTATATTTGGATGCTTTCCATATTGTAACCCCCACCATTCCACCGTATCTACAGCACTGCTGTGACGGCTAGATGCACAAAGAGCCAATGTCAAAAAAATATGAAAATACTGCACACGTGGATGCAGCCACTTTTGTAGGCGGAATGTTGGGAAGGTAAGATACAGAAGGGAATTTAATGTACATCTGTAAGCTACGATAAACCGTTGCTAACGAAAAATCGATTCTGAACGGAGTTTAGTTGATTGTAATGCTTTGTCAACAATATGTATGTCATATTTTGGTAAAATAATCGAATAGGCATTATATAAATATTCTTTAATAATATTCGTTCAATATTGTACCGATTTTCTCGTTTTCCCTACTTTTTCCCGGTTTTTCACATTTGCTGGATAACTCTTGGAAAAATCGAGAAATGACCTCCTTAAAGTACCTCCGCAGACAGATTTCCTTTTAGAAAAAGCGCTATCGTTGCAAAGTTGTGCGTGGATAAAAAAAAAAAATAAACATCGTTGCAAAGCCAGGAGGCTTCGCCCAGAATCTAAAGCGAAATCGAACGGGATTCAAAACTAAAATTCAGCTACCGGATATTTCCGATCGTTTTTTTTTTTTTTTTATGTTTTTTCAACGCGTAGATAAAAGTCGCGCACCTGCGCCCGGACAGTGACAATCGTGCGGGCCGTAACGGTCCCGTGTGTTATCATTCGCCTCTAGGCGTCTTAAAATGTGTTTATTACGCGCGCGCCGCATGTGGCGGCCGCCGTCCGGCCGCGAAATCGATTACACGTGGTACGTTACAACGTGTTCGCTATGGAAACAACACGCGTGTATCGCGCAGGCAGGCGCGGCAGTTTTCACACGCGACCGTAATGGTAGTGATACGGGACACGCGAGGTGTCTGTGCGGAAAACCGGGGTGTTTAACAGCGACAACGGCAACAACAACAACAACAACAACAACAACAACAATGCCGCCGTCAACAGCGCGCGCGCGGGCGCGCACGCGTCACGAGGAAGACGTAACCGGCACATGTATCGCGCGCGCCGGTCCGTTCTCCTCGGGCTCTCTCCCCCTCCCCTCCCCACCCCCGGACGTTATTGTTTTCCCGATTGCACCGTGTCACGGTGGCGACGTACAGTGACGCCGGAAAAAACAACAATGTTGTTATGCCGTACGGTGCCGCGCGGCCGGGGAAAACGAAAAAAAAAAACGGCCCGCGTGGAGGGAAAACCGCGGTGCGAGATTCGGGTATATAATTAACCGTCTCGGGCCGGTGTCCGACACAAGCCGCGGCCGCTCCGGGAAAATATCGCGCGCGCGTTCGACGGTTTTCTCTAGTTCTTCTAGTTCGGGGGAACCATACGAAAACGCAACGACAATCGCCGGCGACGCCGCACACACGCCCGACCGACAACCGACGGTCCCGATCGCCGGCGTGTTGAACCACTGCGACGGCCGTACACGCGCCCAAGCCGTCGATTCCGGATTCGTCCAGCAGCACTGCCGGGATACCGATCCGTTTGTCGGATTTCCCGATTCCCGACAACGTGTCCGCACGGCCCGAGTGATCCGACGGAAAACCCGGTAACGGACCGGATACTGCGCTCGGCATCGCTGCGTCGTCGTCGCCGCGGTGCATCATGAACGCCGCGCTACCGAACCGGGTGAGTGCCCGCGACACGGTCGTTTTGTTTTTATTATTATTATATTTTGGTTTTTTTTTTTTTCCCCCGCGATTCGTTGCGATCTCGTTCGGTCTTGCCGTCATTCCGATCGCTATTCGAATCTGAACGGAGAGGAGCCATGCGATTACGTTGTTCCGTTTGTGAACGATTTTTCCCACCGGAAATCATGCGGTTTCTGGTGGCCTATTTTATCGTGTATCGGGGAAGGTCGTCTCGCGGATTCCCCTTAATAATTGGCACAAATATAACGCATTAACGGTTTCCGTTATTTTCGATTTCGTTTGGTTTTTGTTTTTTTTGTTTAATTTCAGTAAGAAATAACCGTAGAGACCCGAAATGTTCACCGAAAAAAATTATGTACCTAAGCACTTTTTAGACGCAGTAAATTTCTGAAACACTCCGGCGATTTTCGAGTTTGTCTAGTTTTAAATTTAATGACATTTTATGACAAAAAAAAAAAATTTCTCACTACGTCATAAGTATGAAAAAAATTAGACATTTTTACACTGCATTCCGAAATATGTACTTTTATCATCATTTTTTTTTTTTACCTAACCACATTCTTTTAAAATTTTTTTTTTTAAATACCATATTAACTATTTTTCAAATACACATCCAATAAATATAAAATTTTTAAATTCATAGTTGTACAATAAAATTATACAACTTAAAATACATAAATTTTATAATTTAGTTATAATATTTTCGAAAACTCCTAGTCCAAACGGCCGTATTTTTCGTTTGACAATTGTTGATCATTGATCAGGTAGAATCGGCCCTCAGATCAATCAGAATTCTGTACACGGACCAAGGATGTAATGTAAATTTTTCTATTATATTATAATTGCTATAGATAATAATTGAATGTATTAAATTTGTTATCTGAACAATTTTTTTTAAAATAAAAAATGTTTTTGGCGACGGGCACAATAATGATGAAAATATATTATTTTATACGCTATGGTTGTCAAATACGATTCGGGTGTACAGTGTATGCCCACCAATACACCGTTGGTTTTTATTTGATTTTATTGGATCCACTATTTATTGAAAATCCAGCGCTTACAATTTTTGAAAGAATATGTTGCCTATTTGGTGTACACAAAAATCGTTTTTTTGATTTTTTAATAACTGGATAAAACGATAAAGATTATGAAAATAAGTTTATATAACCGACTTTGTAAATATGAAAATTCCAATAAATCGTAATAAAAATAATTTTGTTTTTTTTTTTTTGTGTTCAAGCAAATAAACATACTGAAAATATAATCAACCGTGATATTTGTAAAAGTATACACAAAATATCGCATGCAAATCGACAATATTTTTGTATAAGCGTGTTTTAAGTTAATTTTTTTTTTTAAATTTTGATTTTAAGACAGACTTATTGACAATCACGACTTAAGATTGCTTATACTTGTATATCGTTATTTAACATAATTTTATTACCTAATTATTTCTGTTACTAAACATACACGAGTGTTTAAATACAAAAAAAATTGATGAATCAAAAGTTTAATGAGTTATTAATAAGTTATAGTTATGGGTCGATTTATTTTTTACGACAGTTTTATCTTGAACATAATTACATCAACAGAATATCTGTGTTTAAAATTCAAAACATTTAAATCAACACTAGTCACATTAAAAATACGAATATAATACAATTCGTTCACGTTTGTTTCGAGTCGAACAACAGACGTACAAAAACTATAACAATCGTAAAAATAGGCATACATATTCGTGGCATGGTGCGAGATGGGCCGATGTCAATTTTTCGAAAAAAATCATTTAGAAATTAAGAAAAAAGAAAACGTGTACACTTTTTTATTATCTAAATGCAATGTAATGTTGAAAATTACGCAAACATTTACTAACTCAGTGAAATACACTGGGGAGCCTATGGGCAAACACAATTTCAAAGTCCATTTCCCAACGGTCACAAAATGTGACATTGGCCCTTCTTGCACCAGGCCACGGAATTATATTATATACGTATATTTTTTTTTATTTCTTTTTCGTGAGCTCGTTTTGAGTTTAATTTTTCATGTTGCATGTTCATTAACTCCGCGGCGGTTTCGAATCCGTATTATGCGGCTGCAGACGTCTGTAACGCGTTTCGCGGACAAAAGACAAACTAGCGATCTACGATACACAACAGTACGCGAAAAGAAATAATATTTCCGTTACGTACGCGCGCGTGTATGTATACCTATCGGCGAACAATCGTATAATGCGCATTGAAATCGTAGCATGTTTTAAGAGTTATATTATTATTATTGTTGTTACTACGATGTCACAAACACGCCGGACAATAATGGCCGCGTACGTTTTATTATTGTTTTTTTTTTTTTTTATTTCCAACGTTCCATCGTTCGACTTTCATTATTACGAACGCGTACCTCTCTATATAGAATTGCATATATATATAAAAAAAAACAATTCGATATCGAATGTTTTCGACGCCCGCGGAATTTTCTCCCGGCACGGATCCCTGCAGCAGTGTTCCGACCGAGCGTGTGACGGACGGACAGAACGAACGGCACGCCGACGTTTTCCCCTAGGAAAACAAATAAATAACAACGTCGGCGGTAATCGCGTTTTGCGCGAATATCGGTTGTCGCGCGAGACCGACGAGCGCAATGCGAATCCGAGTGCCTGATCGAAAAGGAAAAAATCGCGAACGATCGGTCATTTGCGCGTACTCGTCCTCGTCGGCGTGTACGCGCGCGTTCCGTCTCTCGCGCGCACGCGGATTTTTCGCGCCAAACGGTCACGGCTTCGACGCCGAAAAAGGCGCCCGTCGATTTTCCGCGCAACCGCGATTAATTATTGAAACGTTAGCACTGGCGTTCTAATCGTGCCGACACACGCGGACACGTCCCGGTTCGCCCGTCCGACTAAACGCGCGCGCGTACAGCGCGAGTCGTTTTATTCGTCGGGACTCGCGTGCGCCGCTCCGAACGGTGTACGGGGAATGGTTCACCAAGCGCGCTCGTCCCGTTTTTTTTTTGTTTTTCCGGTTAGATTTCGCATTGATAATGTATTCTGTATTCTGGTTTTCGGCGTTTCCGAACGCTTAGATTTTTACCGCCCCCCGAGACGTGTTCCGTCGCGATACCGGATTTGATTTTTCAAACGACAACGATCCGTTGACAATACGGTAAACAGACGCCCGGCACCGTTTTAAATGCATTTCGGTGTCAGCGTTTCCGACGTTCCGTCGACCCGTAAAACACGCGATATTCCGCTCTCGAGTTTCGGTAGGGGCGGCGGGCAGCGGAACATCATTCGCGCCAACCGCGCTTAGTGAATAACTGCCCCGCGTTGTATTCGCGGGAAATCGCGGGATTGAACGCGGGACGAAAGGCGCGACGCGGTAACGCGCGACGATACGGCGAGCCGAAAAAAAGGCTTGGGTCATTTTCCCCGGGTGCGCGCGAATTACCGTTTCCCGCAGCCGCCGTCGCGGTACGCGAACGATTGCCCAACGGGCAAACGCGACGGTTTCGGGTAAACGCGTCGTTATTATACCGACTAGACGGCCATTATAATAACCGCCGCGGCTACCGTTAAGTCTTACGGGCCGCGGTACGTGGCGGACCGTGAACTATGGTCGTGTTAACATCATAACGACTGCAATTCGCGCGTTTAGGCCGACTACCCGTGTAACGGCACGTCGGAAAATGTCAAATTTTCGTCATAGCCGGGCCAATTTTACGTTATCGCAGACGCGATAATTGCACGATCGCGTTTCCAAACGCGCGCGGCGCCCGGTTCGCGTTCGCGTCGGTAGCGGGGTCGTGTAAAACGCCATGTCGCGCAATAACACCGTAATTATCTTCGGTATTGCTTTCGGTCCCGCGGAAGAACGACTTCAGCGGGAATTGCGTGTGGTTTTTTTATTTTTTTTTTCCAATACGAGCTAATTCGATCTCGAAAATACGTACACCCGCGCGTAGACTATAACACGACAATAGTAATATTTATAGTGTGCGACGTAATGCTATAGCGTTTATATTGGATGGCATTAACGGCCGACAAACTGGACGTCGAACCGATAAAATCCTAATCGGTTCGATAATGCGTAACGTCGGCTGTCGCACAAATGACTCTTGCGTTTTTTTTTTTTTTTTTATCGACTCCGCAAACGATCGACTCGCCCAATCGACAATTCGAAAACCCGATTTCGGTTCTGTGCGGGTATCGGAAACGGTCCCATAACTCTATTGAACCGGTAACACAGTGTATTTCGGTTTTTTCACCGTTTTCCCTCGTCGTGCTAATTACTAATACTGGTATGCGTTAATCGCTTCGTGCAACGCGTTTAATCGGTTTTATAACGCGACCGTACATTTCCTCGAACAATTAACACGATAAAGTTCATTATCCAATAGTCTGTCGATATTATACCATAAGTTGTCGAACCGTTTTTCATAAATCCGGCATTCGACAATTCAGACCGAAAAATAAAAGCGAAAAAACGACATTAAACAAAATAATTATCTACCTATTATAGGGGGGGGGGGAAGTAAGGAATTGACTTAGACTCTGCTTCCCTGGGACCGATACGTATGATACGTTTCTTTTTATTGTGACCATCCCGCCTCGCGAGACACCGGTGTTGTATATTATCCGGATACATTTATCATATCCGGATAGGTATATTTTTATCTTACGTCTAAATAAATGAGCTGATATAAGTTATCCGAGGTAAATAATCGAATCGTCTCGATAACTCTTTTTAAATCGGAATTCATACGTACATATTATATGTTTAATCGGACATAATTGGTAAAAAAAAATAACGTAATGTTTATTATTAACGCGGTCTAAGTTACAGCCTTTCTGCAGATATCAATACGTGTACCGCCGACATCGCCGTTGCGATTGAGACCGGAGTGATTATAATGTTTTAGCTGTACAGCGCCGCGGCCAGAAACGGAAACGGCAATACAAATTCCGGAACGGCGAACTCTGGAGCCGCAGGCGTCGATTCCGGTCGCAATGCATGGCTAATCGGGACCGGTGGCGAGCGGCGATAAATAGAGACCGGCAACAACAACGATATTGTTATTAACAATCGGGCGCATTCGATTAAAAAAAAAATATCTATGCCCGATTATATTGCGATTACGACGTCTGTCGCGTGGCGCGTGCTGTATAATGTTATTATATTGTTACATTGTAATACGCACGTGCGCGCCGGAAAGCCACCGAGTCACTGTCGTAAAAAAAAATTTAGAAAAAAAAAAAAAAACGCGGACGCACGATTACCCGTTGTAATCGAATCGATTCCGCGTATTCGAATAATAATATATTACCGATTGGCGGTGGAGGGGCGGGGGGAAATAATAGAGCTGTACGGGTATCGATCCGGTCACCGAAACGGTCACCGCGTTCTGCCCGCCTTTCGGCCGTCTCGCGCCAACGCGATCTTTAACGAAATAATTACTTCAAGGTACACGCGTAACACACTGTCCATATCGGGCACCCGAATCTGTTAATAATTTCTATTGCGCCTGTACTCGTTCGGTGTTTCGTCCGACGACGCCGAAATGTTATAATCGAAACCCTCCGTGTGTGGGAAATCGTGTGTCAGTTGCCCTCGGCGTATAAAACACAGCGACGCGGAACACGCGGAGGAGAATTTTTAACCGCGCGTTACTCGGAGAGCGGCCAACTCCATTCCGGGGGGGGGGAGGGGGAGGGCATGATTACGGGGCGGATACGGGGGACAGATTCCCCCCCCTCCCGTGAGCCGCGTTTACATAACACTAGCCGTCCCGCCCGGCCTTGTCCGCGCCGAAAAAAACTAAACCCAAAACTCGCTAGTACGGTTATGCGGGTCGCTATACCCGTTGTTATAACGGCACGCGTGTTTATCGTTTCCACAGGCGTTCGGTGTGTTGGTGTTTGCCGCCTGGGCTCAGAGGGCAGTGTGGTGTCAGTATTACAACGAGCAGATCGGCAACGGGATCGGTGGAGACGGTGGTGGCGGAGGACACCATAACGAAGAACATCTACAAAAGGAGCCTTACGTGAGTATACGGCGTCGAACGTTGAAATGGTAGAGAGCAGCAATTGTAGTGCTCAGCGGTTGGGAAGTTGGCCGAAGAGTCGAAAGTGTAAAAAATAAAACCTCTATCGTGCCTCTAACTAGGCGCGGATATAAATGGAAAGGGTGTTTATTTTTTTTGTTCGGAGTATTATAATCCGGGCTCCTATAGTCAACTTCTCAATGCACAGTGGTCTGAGAATAAAGTTTAGGTGGCGAAAATAGGACGTTAGAAATGTTCAAAAAATTAGTTTTTCTTTTTTTTTTTTTTTTTTAGGACCTCATTAGTAGACGCGAAAAACTAGTGTAAATACAAAATTTCAGTTACATAACATTTTTGACCTGGAGTTATAGCCAAGTGAACTAGAGAAATTTGGTTTTTTTTTTTTTTTTGTTATTTTGAAAATAAAAATGCAGATAATTCATTAAAATGTTTGGTTATTTGAAATGTATAAAATGAAAAAAAAATGGCATATCAAGGTAATAAAATAAATTTTTTTTTTTCATAGACTCCAATTGTTCGTATTCAAAAAGTTCATAGTGTTTAAATATAAAATACATTTGAAAAAACTTACTTTATTTAGAACTATTGATTCAACTATTGATCAATTCAAAATTAAAATTATTGAATGAAAAACATTAGTAAACTTTATAAAACGTAGTTATAGGTACTATATTCGTTGCAGTACAAAAACGTAATACTAACCTTTATGAAACTGCAACAAGTACTCGTATAAATGAATGCACATTGCGCATTAGTGTATTTATAATACTGCATAATATTATAGGTCTTATCGTAGTATTATACTGATAAACATCATCGTATCTGTTCAAATAAAATACTAGGTTTCCGATATAACTTTATTTATTTAATACCACGTTATTTTTAACTTTTATTTAACTTTATTTACCGATTACCCCGTCAAACAATCCGTGACGTCTGACACCGGTGAATAACAATTTTACATATTTTGTTATTATATTCTGTACAGATAGTTAATTTTCTATACAAATTTTAAAATTTTAAAAACACCATTTTTTTTTTATGACAATATGATCTGTGTGCGTTGCAGATGCAACGGGATGCAATAAGGAATTATACATTCTTATGGTTGAGAACTTTCTCTACAAAATGCATATATTGGGTACAGGGTGAACTTGAATACATTTTTACTGCAGTTTATGAAAAAAACAAAAACGCAAAAAAGTTCGATTTTTTTTATGATTCACAACCGTTAAGGACTTAAAAAAAATATTTTTTTCATTATCTTAATATGCAATTTAATAATTAGGTATTTCATTTTTTTATTTTATAAATTTCAAATAGCCAAAAAAATGATTGAATTAACGGCATTTTTATTTTCAAATTAACAGAAGAAACCAAATTTGTCTATTTCACTTAGTTTTAACTTCAGTTCAAAATATGTTAAGAAACCGAAATTTTGTGTTCACACTAGCAATCATCCACTAATGAGATCCTAGAAGAAAATAATAGTTTTTCGAACATTTTTAATGTCCTATTTTCGCCACCTAAATGTCATTCTCAGACCACTGTGCAACGGTTTTACTCGTCCGTTTGCGTTTTCAGCCGATTTCGTATCTCACTTATTACATTATTATTATTATTATTATTTTTTGTATTTTTCGACGAAACAAGCAAGCGCATACACCCGACAACAAATGCGTTTCCGATTCTGACACGGTAACGGTTTTTGTCCACAGATAAAGCCGCTGTACAAGTACGGGTACTGGGTGCACGATCCCAAGACCAACGACGTAAAGAACCACTGGGAACACAGGGATGGCGACGTGGTGCACGGGTCGTATTCCCTGCTGCAGCCGGACGGTCACATACGTTTGGTCGAGTACACGGCCGACAAGGTGTCCGGTTTCAGGGCACACGTCAAGTACATGCACGACGGTAGCGGAGGCGGTGGCGGTGGAGGAGGTGGTGGTGGTAGTGGTGGCGGTGGCGACTTCAGCCCGCACGTTCTTGACGATGCGGCCGAAGGGCAGTCATCGCAGATTGGTGACGGACGTTCGGGCCACGCCGCTCCCAAAAAGTCGTTGAAAAAGTACTACAAAAAACCGCGGACGGACAAACCGGGCGGACCGGCCGGCCACTACAACCGAAAATCCCAGCACGACAACTTCGACGCCCGCGGCAAACCGATTGGCGGCGGCTTCAAGAAACACCGGCCACGCCCGGCGGAATATCAGTCGTCCGGTTTCGATCAATTGCCGAAGTTCCAGTCCGTCGGCGGCGGCGGCGGCGGCGGCGGCGGCGGAGGTGGCAGCAGTCCCGAACGGTATCACGGCAGTCCGCTGCTGCAGGACAGCCCGTTCGGCAGTGACAACGGCGCGCCCTCGGACTTTTTCTCGCGCAAGTATTCCGCACCGCCGAAGTCGGCAGCGCCGCTCGCTTCGGCTTCGGCCGATAGGTCCGCCTACTACACCGGCATCCAACACCACCAGCCGTCCGAACACCGGCGGCCGGAACAGCCTTCGTCGTCGAGGCCGCAAAGATCGCACAACGAAGATTACGGCGCGGTCGGCGTCGGCGACGACGATGAACATTCGCAGGAGACGCCGCTCGGCCGGGACGGCAGTGACGTCACCATACAGAAGCTGTCGCCGCTCAGGGAGTACCATTACGAGGAACCTTACCCGTTCGAAATACCCAAAGGCCTGAGGGCGGCCGATCTGTTCCGGGCGCCCCACCAGAAGAGACACCTGTGGCCCGCCGTGCCGTCACCGTCCGGACCCGCGCGGGCCCAGTGGTACAGCGGTGGTGCCGCTGAGACGTCGGCCAACTACAGTGCCGACGAACGGCCGGACGCGGACGACTACTGAGCACCGCGGAGCGCAATCGCACTTTTCCGGTAATAGCGCGTACGAGCGTCACTCGCGATAACATAACATATTTATAACGCTACATGCGAGTGTAGTATTTTATTATTATATTATGACTTATGACGTATTGTTTTTTTTTTATGATTTTTGTTTTTGTTTTTTTTTTTTATTATTATGTTATTTTTCGTTCTTTCACCGAATCGTTTCGAACGGGTTTTGTTTTGTTTTTTTTTTTATTAAAAATGACAAGTCCGTAAACGTTTCGCGTGGGTATTGTTATCGTTTTAGTTTTTCCGCGTTTTTTTTATGATTTTTGTTTTTGTTTTTTTTTTTTTTTTTTTTTTTTTTTTAGTTTTTCCAAAATTTAAAAAAAAAAAAAAAAAAAAAAAAATACATTAATCGTCGTATTATTGTTATTACCGTACACGGTGCGCGCGCCGGTCGCCGACATCCGATTGTTATACGGCGCGGCGTTATGGTCAATGATAATAACGTTCGTTCGGAACGACGGTCCTGTCGCACGCACGCACGTACGCACGACATAATATTATTTGCGTTACGGTTTGCGGCTATTGTTCCGACAGTTTACCACCGTACGGGTGCGTAATGATAATGTTATCAACATAATATTGCGCGGTTGCGCATTGGGGCGGGTGGCACCTACTGCAGAACGCGTTTATCGAACCGCGTGTGTACGTGACGAAAAACGTATCGGGACCCGATTTACGCGGTTGTATCTGAACCGCTATTCGTCGTGAACCGGAGCGAAATTGCCGGCAGAAAAGTTGTCCGCGGAGAAAATTATAAATAAACACAAACATCCTCGTAAAACCGTGAGTTTCTTGGCGCCGCTCTAAATAAAAAAAAAGCAAATAAATGCATTGAAGTGACAAAGGGGGAGAAAACAAAATAAAAAAAAACTGTTAAACCCGCGGTGTTATCGATTTTATCGATTCGATATTTTTCGGTTTTTCGTTTTCTAGGCACCAGAACTGTTGCACACCGAATTGTCGGAGCGGCGTTTTTTCCGAAAGAAAATTCGCTCTAGTACCGGAGCCCACGATGCCGTATAATTTTGCACCTGTACGCATCGATAAATCGTTTCTAATGAAATACGCGCTCAATTGCACACCGCTAGCGGATAATTTATTTGTTTATTTATATCATTACAATGCGGACCGGAGTCCGTATGTGACACACGTATTATTACAGTTCACGACGGATTAACGGTTTACATAATGTTGTATGGATATCGGTTGTGCGCTACGTAATGTGCAACCAAATTTATCGTTGCACTGGTATAACAGACGGTTATTTTTTTGATGAGGGCAGAAACTAAAGGATGGGGCCTCGTTGGCGATTCGCATCGTTCTTTCGATAGGCTGGTTGTGCGCGTAGTCGGTGATGGATTTAGATAAACGGAAAGGATGAACAGACCACGAGTAGAATGGAGGAACCTTGAAATGTATGCAGGCTGTCCCACGAAGACGTACCCCTTGAATAGCTCCGGCGATAATAAAGACAATCAAATTCTGTTGTTTTTTTTTTTTTTTTTTATATTTAATACTCACGGGGATGAGGACTACACATATTTATATTTGAGTTACATTTTTTTTTTTAAGCGAAAAAACGGAATAGCTGTCTCAAAATTCATGAAAATTTCCAAATTTTGTGTATAATTATTCTGTAGTTAAAAATGTAAGATACTACCTAAACATTTTCTCGTAGAAAAATATACATAACACCTCGTAAGGCCGTTGCGGTGTTTGAATTCCGGGACACGAACAATCAAATCGTTTCAATACCTGAATTGATAACGAATGAATCGTGATCGAAAAAAATTGAATTATTACATTTTACGACTCTCGGATGTAAACCATTCCTTTCCATCTTACATAACTTGCATATCTCATACTTTGTATCACCGCATGAATACCATGCTGCGGTTACGTTGCAGTGTGTAACGCGAAAAAAACATCGTTTCGCGTTTCGTCGCCGTACACTTAAATTCCAAATGGATCCACTGCAAACACAGTATTATTCGGAATAATAATCGACTAGGTACGGGACCGAAGCGTTGTAAAATGTAATTAACATTTGTTCAAACATTCAAACTGAGCGATTACCAGCAATTATTAATATTATATAGTCTCAAATTAGCTAACCTCAAAATCTATGTAGACAGATAGACCGCGGTAATTATAGCCCCCTTTAAAACGCACCGTATTTAAATGACAATACTGTATTCAATACCCACGTGCAATTAGCGCGGTGGCTATATATTTAAAAAGCACACGTGGGTCGGCAAAATTGTAATGATAATATTATCGGCGAATATTTCCGAAGCGCCGTTAGGGAACCTGCATCAAAAATCAATTATAACCTCCCCCCCCCAAAAAAAAAACCTACCCCCTTTTGAAAATCGCTCTAAACTCAAGTACGAGTGTAGTATAGAGAGTATTGTAACTTTCTCAGTTTTGACGGCATGAACCGCAAGAAGAAAAGCCGTGAAACTGTAATAGGTATTTGTTTGCACGTAATATTTGACGCAATGCGTTGGGTACCGCCGGCTACTTACACGTGGATAGTGTTGAACTAATACGTGTACAAAATTGTTATTTTATAACGAGCGCGTCCAGTGTGCCAAACTATCTATCGGTATAACGCGAAAATGTCCGTGTAGGTGCACGTCATACTATATTACTATATTACTGCATATACTGTATAAATTGTGTGCGCTAACAAACGAGCATAATAATATTATAATCGAATGTTGAAAATTGATTTGTTATTTAAACGATTATTGTTCTGAGTGTACGCGGCGATAAAACGCATAGCTAATATGTGTTTGTGAAATTGCAGTTTATCGAATAAATGATTTACATCGTTGGTCCGACAGCAAGACGTGGTGGAATCTATACAATTCTATAAAATAGGGTTTGTTCGGGTTCCACCGAATTAACTATTACGTCACGCATCATACACCAGCGGCTTATTTATGGCGAGGGATTAAGAACGTTTGACTCCTAAGCATTTTATATTCAGAGCGTATTTGGCTTTGTTCAATCCGTTTACGGTTATGCTCCGATTCCGTAGTGGCTGTCATGAAAAAATATTGGTGTAGCGAAACATGAAAAATAAATACCCGCCAGTGGTGCGGTAAGGGGGTCCCCCTGTTTCGAAATCACTACAGCAGTTCAATAATTGTATGTTAAACGTCCAATTTATTCCTATTACGAATAATTTAATTTATAGTCAGACCCTCCGTACCAAATGTACACTTACACTTCTGCTAGCTACACCTTCACCAATATTCAATCACGTTACACCCCGCATTTATCCAATAGAATTTTGTGGGGATTTTACTACTTTTATATGGATAAAATTATTTGGTCAAACGAAAATGTTTGAAAATGTAATACATAGTTCACTATGAATTTAACTTAGTAATAAAAAAAAAAACGTGACCATAATGTAGTATTTTTTTTTTATTTTTAATAAGTAATTTAAAATCGAATTTCGAAGAAAATCGTAAAAATTATTGAATTTCAAAACACGTATAACCAAACTTTGCACAACTTTGCGCATACATAGTTTTATATATCTATTACCTTCTCAGCTTTTTTTTATTTGCATATTTTATAATCAATTCGTTTTTAATTTTTCCTAGCGATAATTTTACATTTCTTATGTCAACACTTACGACTTACGGTCAAAAAGTTTGGTCTTTTTGAATTTTTTTTTTTTTTAATTCAACAACTGTAGAAATACACAGATAACTACATATTATGTCAGAGAATTAAACGAAAATAATATTTATTATGTATATGAGGTACAGTTGGCAAGATTATATGATGGCTATAAAACGGATTTAAATTATATTGTTTTAGGTAAGTGTCTTTGGCACTTCAACTTTTGAATTCTCAAACAAATATTTTACTACCTATTTAACCTTACTTTGAAATAACAATCATAGAATTTTCACGCCGAAATTTCCTCAAAAAAAAAAAAAAAACAATAAATATATTTTCCAATAGTGGGGCCAATAAAAACTTTATCCCAACTTACATGAGTCAATTTTTTTTTTTTGAACATATGTATATTGCCAATTTAAGAACGATATGGTGGAACCAGAATTGAGCGAACTGAGTTAAATTCGAATTTGAAGTTCTGATATTATGTGTTATTTAAACTATGTTAAAAAAAACTCACTGTAATGATTTCGGTTTTTCAAACGACAACCTATATTAAAAATTCCATAAACAGACGGAGTATTACTTTAAATGCATTTTTTTTTTTTGTCAACATTTTCGTTTTCCATAAACCCGTTAACGAGATATTTCACTTTGAGTTTATATTTAATGCAGGTCCTCATTTGAAAAAACAAGTTGGTGTCACCACTCGTTAAATGTTATGAACAACATTGTTCTAGAACAACACCGCGCCCACCCCTAGTTTACTCGCGTTTGTTTATAGTCACGGGCGGTGTCACCCCATTCCGTAACAGTAGCTGCAGACACGACCGCGTCAAGTTTCAAAACAATTTAATAATACCGCCGTATGAACATAGCTGTTAAATATGTCGAACGGCACGTGCAAACTGCTAGCAATACGTTAATTACTACGGTACGAAATACGAGTACACAAAACATAAATAATTTGAATACAATACGTAACTGTTTGATTAAGTTTTTAAGAATTACGATGTACCTCATGCACATGCACATTCGGAGAATCTTGACTTTGACTCGATTTACGTGAGAAATCGTCTTCTTATATCGAAACCGGTGGTGTTTCTAGAGTATTATAACTAATTGTATAGTAAGATAATAAATTATCCGATAACCGATCGGATTGTTGTTATCGGTAGGTCTATTATGCTATTTCAGTGCGTATTAAATATCTTTAGTACGTATCGGTTTTATGTAGCCATCCAGGGGATGGAATTGAAGTTTAAAATAAAAGTTTAACCATAATGGTTCGCTCCAATAAAAATCTAAAATCTTATCGTACCAACGAACAGTGCCTATCGTTGACCTTCGATACGAAATCGGGAAAAAGGTATTAAATGAGTCCTCGTGACAGCAGAAAACAAATTAAAACTTGTTGTATTTTTTTTTTTTTGTAAAGAAATCAACGAAGCTGTTCTTAATTGGATGGCTAATATACTGCGTCGTAATATAGTTAACATCAACAAAGAAACATTGATGAGAGAAAAATCTAATTTTTTTGTCGGCTTACCAATTTGGTTTCTAACATTTCTATTGCTAGTGTAATGATTGACTGTAGACGAATACAA